AGGAGCTCCATACAATACGGCATTGTTTCTTTTGAGTTGAGAAGAGTAAGGATCATTTTCCCCATCAGCAGCTAATTCTTCCCCTTGCTTAAAAGCGGTAATATCATTTAAAATCCGTAATAAATGCTCATTAGCCTCATCTTTAAAAATTAGAGTCGGTCTTTTGCAATCTTCACATTTTAAAGAGGGATGATTACGCAAACCTAAATGCTTGATATTATGAGGAGAGAGAACTTGCCCTCCTTTGGCCGCATTATAACCTTTTAACTTTTCCTGAGTCATTTTGGCGATGTCATCCTGGACTTTTTGCCTTTCTTGGGCTTCTTTTAATTGTTCTTCTAAATTTTGGTTAGCCCCATGTTTAAGGAGTAATTTTTTATTTTGGATATCAGTATTTTTTCAGGCTAAAAAAGTTTGGATTCCTAGGATTATTAGAAAAGTTATTACTGCTAGAGTAATTAATCAGCCGATTATTTTTTTGAAAAAGGTTGGCATAAGTTAAAAATAATTACATAAATATCATGGCCAAAGTCAACTTAGATGCCAAGAAGTCGCCAATACCAATTATTAGCCAAAAGTATCCAACCATACTTAGTTTGAAGTGTAGTAAGGAAGTATTAGCGGTTGATTTATCCGATGGTCGCTCAGTAAGCATCCCCACTGCTTGATTTCCTCGGCTAAGAAAAGCAACTTTAAAACAATTAAATAAATTTGAAATTGCTTTTGATGGGGAAGATATTACTTGACCCGAACTAGATGAAGATGTAAGTGTTAAAACTTTCATAGATGGTTTACAGGGTTCTTGTTGTTAGGCTAGTTATTTTTTAAAAGTTAGGTATAAAAATTATATATGTTCTAAAAATACCTATAAAATTAGAATATAGTCATGAAGTCAGATTATTTGACTTGGGAAAAAGGAACCTTTCTTACTGAAAAAGGGTATCTGGTAAGATTAGAAATGAAATTGATGAGAATTTCTGAAATCAGAATTGAGTTTCCCGAAGGTTATAAATTTCGTTGAATTGTATATAATGTCGAAAACACCAGCGAATTGGTTCGTCTAGATAATCACCGCGGTAAGCCTATCCATCTTCACATAGATGGTGATAAAGGTAAACCAGTGCCATGGGTTAGTCTAGAAGCAACTCGCCAATTCTTTTTTCAACAAGTTTACCAAAGATTTGGTTACTTTGACTATGAATAAAAATTTCTATGAATAACAAAGTATTTATTTTTCAATATGATCCGCAAGCTTCTCCTAAAAGAATGTTTGAACATTTTAAGGAGTCCATTGAGACCGGTAAAAAGCATATTCAACCCAAAAATCTCTTAGTCTCTAACAATTTAGAGGCTATTTATCGTTGCCTCACTCCGGCTAGATTAGAAATCTTTACTTGCTTAATCGAAAAAAAACCCAATAATCTGACCGAACTATCCCAAATACTCAAAAGAGATTACGCTAATGTCTGAAAAGATATCCAAGCCTTACAAGGTTTAGAAATCATCAAATTAAAAAAAGTAGGTAAAGAAATTAAACCGATTGCTCTTTATGAACAAATCACTTTTGATTTTTCAGCGGTGCGAAAACCTTCGACAACTCCTTCTCTACATTTGACAACTAATCCCTAATTTTTTTGTTGTGGGAGAAAATTATAAAACTCCCATTAGTGGTCAAGTCTTTTCTTAACAGCTCACCAAACTAAAAGTAATCCTAGTAATCCTCCCGTAATTAATAGGGTGTTCTTACCCGCTTCTTGGGAAATAAAGCCTAAATATTTCTTACTTTCTGACACTTTCTCTGTTTCCTCCTCTTCTTTTCTCTTCCAAGTAAAAAAGGAAGTATTAGGCTTGCTTTGGAAAATATTACGGACTATGTTACTTAACTCCTCCGACTTCTCCGCACTAAATAAGTCATAAACCGGATCTTTTCTTAATTCAACTTGTAAAGATTTAATCGCTTGATTTTTTTGACTTAGGGCGGCAAATAAACGGGCTTTCTTAACCGGATCTTTTTCCTCCTTTCACTCTTTGGCTAATTGATTAGCCTCGCTCTGCATTTTATCTAAAGTCTCTAATTTTTCTTGAAAAGATTTTAATTGGGCTCAAGTAGATGCTTGAACTTTGCCAATGTAATAGCCTAATTCTTTGGCTAGGCGACGAAAAGTGGATTTAATTCTTTCTGAGAAATCACCTTTGTTACCATCCAATCCAATACAACTACCATAAAAAAATCCTGTTCCCGCCTCATCTTCACATTTCTTTTTCAATTCTTGGAAAGAAGATAATAATTTATTCTTGGCCTCATTAAAATCTTTTTCATTCTTGGCTTGGGAGATTTTGGCTTGTTTTTTTACTAAAACATCAAAAGCCCTAAAATTCTGATTAATTTGTCGTAAATCATCGCCCATTTTATGTTGCCCACCATAATTACATTCCCCACCTACAAAATAATTGCCTTTACATCAGTTACAATGGGGATGCCCTTCTTTGGCTAGACCATTTTCTACTTCTTTACCTTGGCAACGAGGATTGCGGACAATAGCACAAAAATCTTGGGGGGTTATTTCATAAGTCATACTTTTTTCTTATTGTCATAATTAATCATCACCTCAAATCATACTCTTCACCTTTTCTCAACCTCACATAATAATTCGATAAATCAAATAAAGCAGACCTAAGAAAAAAACCAGCAATATTCAATTTTTAGGCGAGGACCAAGCAATTTTTTGATATCAAGGCTGGTCAGTAGTTTGGGCTAATTCATCGATATCTTTACCAGTTATTAAATTAGTCGCTACTCCTTTCACTAACCCTAATTTCTTATTCACTTCGGCCATCGCTTTTAAGGCAATTTGCTCGGCCCTTTTATCACCCTTTTGGCGAGCATCTTTTAAATCAGCCGCAATCTGCACTTGCTGTTCTTCTAATTTGCTAGTCTTTTCACCAATGCTTTCTACTATTTGCTTATTATTTTCTTCAATCATCCTTTTTACTTCTTGTCAGTCTTTTTGAATTTTTTCTTTTTTTATTTGAGGATTACTTTCTTGGTTAACTTTTTTAGCTTCAGCCCTAATTCTTTCAATTTCTAATAAAGTTTCTTGATTTTTTTCATTAATCTCTTTCTGGTTTTGCAACTCTAATTTGCGGATTTCGGCCTGGGTTTCTTCCATTTTTCGCTTAGTTTCCAATTCTTTCGTGTCGTCAACAGTCTTAAAAGAAAATAAGCCACCCAAAATTGATTCTTCTCTTATTACCATATTATTCCTTAGTTCCTTTATTTATACTCTTTAATAAACCAACAATCATTTTAGTTATCATTATCGCTACTATCATTACAATAAAAATAATTCCTCAATTTAATCAGGATTTTAAATCGGGATTATTAGCCCTACTTTGCACTTGTTCCGGAGTTAAAGAAGTATCATTGCTAATTTCCTTAAACAAGTCATCAATCGCTTTTTCATCATTAGCAATTTGTTTCTCTTTTTTGCTAATTTGGCCTTTGACATCTTTGAGTTGATTTTCTAAAGAGGCTAATTGAGCCTGCAATTTAGCTTTTTCTTGACTATCATTAGTTTCATTAATCTGAGCCGCTACTTGGGTTTTTTCTTCTTGCAACTTTTCTACTTTTTTATATAATTCATCTAACTCTTTTTTGTGGGTTTCTTGGCGTTCATTTAGATATTCTTTACGATTATCCAGATATTTTTGGCGGTGTTCGGGTAGGCGTTCTTTGGGGATACCTAATTGTTCGGCACGATTAGCAGGAGTGCTACCAAAGGCTTCAATGCCTTTTTTGGCCGTGAAGTAGGTAGTGAGGGCAATTATGCCTCATTTGATTACGGGGAAAAGGGCGGTAAATCACATGGTTTTTATTCTTCAAATCCAATATTTCTAAAAATACCTCTAAAAATAGCTACACAAATCCTGTAGAGGAGATAACAAGCGATTAAGAAGCCCCCTAATCATAAACCATTGTTCCAAGAGAGTTTATTAGGCATTTGGGACTTCCAACCGCCCTTATCGACCACTTTTAAATCAGCCAGATTAGTCTCGATATCTTTTAATTCTTGGAGTTTACTTTCTTTTTGCTCTAACTTTTCCTTAGCCTTGTCAGCCTTATCTTCATCACTACTAGTTAAAATTTCTTTTCTTTCTTTTTCTAACTCTTTAATCTCGTCTTTTATTTCCTTTGATTTGGTTTCGCCTTCCTTGATAGCGGCCTTAATTTCTTCTTTCTCTAAACCTTTGGCAGTTGGATTATTTTGGGGTGAGTCTAATCTTTCAGCGATGAATTTTTTGTAAAGGTAATAAGCCGCAACCGCGACTAACAGTAAGGGTATTAAATTTAGTATCATATTATTTTCTTTCTTTATTATTTTTAGATAAAATATCAGGTCTATTTTTCTTTTGGCAAGTAGTATTTGAGCATTCATAATACTCGCCATTATGCTTGGTTTGCTTTAGATTTTCTTTCATACGCTATATATAATTTATTTTATTCATATGTTAGTCGGACAACTGTTAGACAACCAACATATAAAATATTTTAATATATAGTAATATGACCTGAACCCAATACAAAACCTACTTACAAACTAAAATCCTCCAAACAGACGAAGAAAATGAGGACACTTATCTCCTTAGTCCGGACGCTAAAAAGCAATATTCTCCTACTAAGGAACAAGAACTCCTCACCACTCTCACCAACCTCATCACAAGCATAGACCACTCCCCTTACACCTCCTCTTTCTCTCTAAGTGAACAAGATCTTGAATATCACTCTCTCCCCGACCTAGACCTCTACCAAGAAGGCCAACTAATCACCTGACCCCAACTCTTCCCTAACCGCTCAGAAACTCATTTTGGCAAAAAAGAAATAGAAGTAGAAATCTCCTCTACTACTTGAAAAATATTAGGCCAAATATTTAACGACTGAACCCATTCTATTACCCGAGCCAAAAAACTCCGCGACTTCTTACAGGACCAACAAAATTTACTCAAATTCATCTCCGAAGCCCTAATTAACCTCAACTATGACCTAATAAAAAGCAAAAAATATGACTTAGTAGTCCAAAACTGACTAAAAGAATATGAATTGTTAAGTAAAGAAGAACAAGAACAATTAAAAGAACCCTATCAGATTATGACCCAACTTTTAACTAGTTGAGAGGAAGTTAAAAAGCTGAAGGAGAGTGCTTCTTGGTATCAGAAACTGCCTTGGAAAGAAGTATTGTGGTATGGGGGAGGGGGATTACTAATTATTCTAGTCCTAGGTTGGATATGAAAAAAATTCAATGATTAAATTATTCTGCCCTCACTCCTCTCCCCCTTGTGAATATTGCCATTACTCCTATCTCCATGAAAATATTTACTAACTAATCGCTCTTGTCCTTACTGTAATCAATCATTAGTTCATTATTATGGTGACGAGGTATTATATTGTGATAAAGAAAAAAGAGTGTTTAAGAAGTAACTTACAACATTTTTGACAATGGTTACAATCCAATAACAAAATCTAGACTGACAACAATTTACCGGCAACAATTATCTAAGGAATAGAGAGAAACCACCATGAAAGACCTACAAGAATTTAAAAACTGACTAAACCAAGACCCTTCTCGGAAGCAAAATTTACCCCACTGAGAAGAATTTTTTATTTCTTTTGAGGAAATATTCTATCCTTTTTTTTATGGAAAAGATCTTGATAAACTCTGACAATGAGAAAAAGAACAAGGACAATTATTTGCTTACCTAGAAATCTATCAAAATTGGTATGCTGATACCGGAAAATTAAGACAATTACCAAATGGGGGTCGGGATGACCTCGATTTAGAAGCTTGTTGTGATCTATTTAATTTCTCTCAAAGTATTTATCAGCAGATGGGGGAGATTAAGGGGTTAAAAGCGACCAAAGAAGAGTTAGAAACTAAAATTGAGGATTTAAAACTTGAAATAACTGACAAAAATAATGAATGGGATAGAGCAAAGCGTTTCTATAATTACCTTTTTGAACTCTATGAGAAAGCAACCCCAGAAAACATAGAAGCCCTAACTGAGGAAGCGAAACGAGAAGTAAAAAAATTGGAAGAGGATTCTGAATCAGAGGAGATTATTAGTGATTTTTATCAGAAGATAGATAAAATTATGGGTTTTGCTAGGGAGAAAGGGGAAGTAGAAGAACAATTAAATAAAAAAGAACAGGAGTTAGCAAGTTTGAGAGAGGAATTAAGGGTTAAAACTCAGGCGGAGGAGGAGTTGGTTAAGGAGTTGGAGCAATTGAAGGAGGAGAAAGGGGAATTGGAGGGTAAATTGGGGGAGGCGGAGACTAGTTTGATAGAAACTAGACGGGAGTTGGATAGGTGGAAAAAAGAATTACAAGATAAAGAGCGAGAATTAAATTCTTTACAAGAGAAATTATCCGGGGAGCAAACTAAGTCGGGTGAGTTAGAAAGGCAATTAACTGCTTTGGCTGTTAGTAGTGGTTTACTTAACCAACAAATTAATGAGTTAACTAGTCAACTAAGTGAGAAGGAGCAGGAAGTAGAGCAAAAGAGATTAGAAACGGAAATTAGGAGTAATTTAGTGAGGGAACAAGGGGAGAAAATTTCTGAGCAGGAACAGCAAATAAATAATTATCAGCAATTATTAAGAACTGCGGAAAGTAATCTTAAAAAGGGGCAAGAATTGCTAAATAAGAAAGAAAAACAATTGGAGGAGTTAGAAAAAGAGAAGAATTTGATTGGGGAAGGGTTAGAGTTGGCTAGTGGGAGGATAAAGGAGTTGGAGTCTGCTTTAGTTAGTGCTAATGGTAAGATTGCAAGGATGGAAGCCCGGATAAAAGATTTAGAAAGTCAAGGAGATAATTCTGATGAGTTGGAAAGATTGAAAAAAGAACTGAACCAAGTTAAACAACAACAAGCCAGCGAGAAAAGCAAATCCCAAGCAGAGATTAGGAGATTACAAAGTGAATTGGCAGCTACTAAAAAAAGGGAGGAGGAATTAGCAGAGAAGATTAAGGAATTAGGGGCTAGAAAAGTAAAAGTTCAGGAAGTGGTTGAGAAGAGTTTTTGGGAGACTGTTAAGACTCCGGTTTTTTATGGGGTAGGAGTAATAATAGTAGTGATTGCTCTGGGATGATTATGAAGTCAAATTCAAGATAAGTAATATGTTCAGCAAACTATTTTTATTATTAATAATTTTGTTGGTAGTCTGGGTTATTAGTTGGTTTACTCCGCCACCAACTAAAAATGATAAAAAGACTGAGGAAACTAGTTGAGAAAAGGAGAAAGAACAAGCCCAAAAAGAACATGAGGCCGAGCATAATAAAGAATGATTTAAAGAGGGGAGGTGGTTGACGGATAAGGAGATTGATTGGGCAGTAGAGAGGATGAGTAAAGAACAACAAATGCCGGGTTCTTTTCCAGGACAAGAAACTCCCAGTAGATTTAAAATCCTCCCCGCCCATCAATTTCATTTAGTCCGTGAAGCCCAAAAATGAAGTAAGGAAGAAGGATTATTTACTTATTTGCTAAGTGAATTGACCGATGCAACTGCAGAATTAGTTTTTATTCCGGTTAATCAGCCTAACTTCCATTGGTCGCTTCTGGTTTATGAAACCAAGACTAAAACTTTTTATCATTATGACACTTTAGGAGGGGCTAATTGAAATTATGTAAAAGATTTAGTGTATGAATTACTGAAAGAGTTAGAAGTTCCTAATCATCTTACTGGTCAGCACTTTTTAGCCCGGCATAAGATTAGGCAGAATAATGGTTGGGAGTGTGGGGTAGCAGTAGTTGCTCTGATTAAGCGAATAAAAGAAAAATATGCGGAGGATTTAGAAAATATTCAATTAGGACAATTTGATTTTAAAAAAGAACGACAAGAATTAAGAATTAAATATTTACAATCCAATAATTAAACCTCCACCAAATCCCCTTTAATCATCTCTCTAAACTCCTCACTCATCCATCCTCAAAACACCAAATCCACTTTAAAAGGCAAATTAGATTCTTCAAAATCCTCCTTAACACGACCATAAATATTCCAAGGCATTTCTTCCTGATAACAGAGGTCTAAATCAGAAAATTTTCTGGCTGTACCTTTCACTCGTGAACCATAGGCATAAAAACGATAAGGATATCTACTAAGTATTTGTCTAATTATTTGCTGATGTCTAGCTTCCATTTGGAGCATAATTCTTGGCTTCTTTTGCTAAATTATCTAATAACTGGTCTAAATCTTGCAGAAATTCTTTAGCAGTATTAGAAAATAAATCGTTCAGGATTTCTTCTTGATAGCAATGGACAGTAATGTTCCTTTTGTCGAGATAGGAGAGTCATCTTTCTGGTTCAGTAATTAGCCTTACCTTAGTTGCTTCCCGAAAAACATCTCGAGCACTACCAACTTCTATACTGTGAAAGTTTAATATTTTTTTCAATATTTTCCAACTTAGTTCATAACAAAATTCAAAGGCTTTAACCACTCCCATTTTTTCACCTTCGCTTTGGGCATTTTCTAAAACCCGGTGGAGAGTGTTGCGGGCTTTAACTAAGGAAGAATAGTCAATTGAGCCGTAGAGGTGTTTTTGATTCATTAATTACTTTTGGGAGGAATTTCTATTTGTGCCTGAGCAGAACTTTCTCCTTTTTGTTCAGAACTAATTTGAACTTCGGTAATACTTTGTTTGTCTATAAGTTCTTTAGCCTTACTTTTGTCTTTTGAACAATACCCCCAACAATCCCAACACTGAATAGGAGTACACATTCTAGTCTTAAAATCACTTCATCATTTTATAATAATTTTAGCAGAAAGCAGTTCATTATTTTTTTCAACCTTTCCCTCATTAAATTGTCTTAGCAATTTTTTCTTCGCCTCTTCGATTATCTTTTCTTTTTTTCTGTTCTTTTCTTCAGCAACTTCCTTTTCTTGGTACAACTTTTTCAGTTCATTCTCAATCCTCCTTTCTTGCTCCTCAGTAAACTCAATTTTTATTAATTTTTTTGCTTCTTCCTCCGAACTAAAAGGCTGGGAGAAGTTGTTCATTTTTGCCTCATAAAAAGCGTTATTAATTATTATTAAATCAACTAAATTTAAATAATATTTTGGAATTGAATCATTTAGCACTTCATTACTAATTATCAAGTACTGTTCTTTATTTTCTCCTCGTTCTGAGAAAATTATTTTCTTAATTTCTTTCTTAGGAAATTCTTCTTTAAATATTTTTTCAATTTTTTCCCTTTTCCCTTCCTTAATATTAGTTAGTTTTTGGAGTAATTCATTAACTATTGGAACTTGATCTTGCCGATAGTTAATTACCTGCTCCTCTAATTCTTTCATAGCTTCCACAATTTCTTCTACTTTATTTAGTTCTTTGGCAAATTTGACCCGTCCATTAGTTAATTCCTTAATGTCTATTTCTTCATTACGATCTTCATCATAAGCATTTAAAAATTTATAGACTTGCTTTTTTAGATCCTCGAGAGCTTCGCTTACCGTTCCTACTTCGCCTGCTTCAATCTGTTTCAATATTCCCATTAACTCATTAAAATTTTCTAAAAAAGTATCGGCATCCTTTTCAAATTCTTCTCACTTTTTTTGCTTTTCTTCATAAAAGTTGGCTTTTAGTAAACTAGCACCTTGGCCTACCAAAGGAGCAGTGAGAGTAATAACTCCTCCAGTAGTAGAGAAGTCTAATAAGGTTAAAGCACCCCCGATAACAGTAGTAGACGTAGAAGCATATTCTATACCAGTTAGATATTTAAATCGGCCAAATTGTTCCGGAGATTTAAGTTTACTTAGTTCGGTTGGTTTTTTTATTTCTTCTTTCCCGATTTTTGCTTTTAGTTCCCTAAAAATTCTTTCGTATCATTGTTCTTCATATTCTTTACCTCATTTTTTTAAGAACTGTTGGAAATTACTACGGATAACAAATAATCTTTCCAAAGGAGTGACAGAAGAAATTAAATTACTTTGTTTATTTTTCTTTCATTCTTCCAAGTTATAATACTTTTTAGCCCTATTATCGAAATGTTCTTCTGAATATTTGCTAAGATGTTTAGTGATTATTGTTGACTTTCTATCCGCTTTATTATTGCTACAATAAACTCTTTGGCAATTAGTTGGTAAATCATCTAAACCACTGTCTATATCAGTGTCGCTGATATAAATATTCTTTAATTTACCTATACTCTTTAAGGATTTCAGACTCCCGCTAAAAGGACAGTTTTCTATATTTAATTCTTCTAATTCCGTAAAAGGGGTTAAAAAATCTAAATTTTGACTATGTAGTTCTGGATTATCTCCTAAGTAAATTTCTTTTAATTTATCTTTGTTCGGCAAAGTATTTAAAAAATCTAAACTAGTGAGTGAGTTGTTTTCGCAATAGAGGTGAGTCAATTCCGCACACTGACTTAAATCTAAATTAGTTAATTGGTTATCGGAACAATCAAGTTTTTCTAATTTAGTGAAATCCCGTAAATCCAAATGACCTTTGAGATTTTTGTCATTAATGGTTAAAAAGGTTATATTTTTTCTTATTTCCGGGGAGTAATTCTTATCTAATCACTGCTGAGTATTTTGTTTACTTAACCCGTCTTCTCCTAACAATTCTAGGGCTTGACGTCAAGGAGCTAGACGATAATAATTATCAAATCAGGCCGGATATTCTTCTTCATGTTGTTGTAATTTTTCTGTTACTCCTTCAATTTTGGCGACTTCTTCCAATTCTTGTCTAATTTTAGAACAACCAGTATCGACTTTGATAGCAGAAGTAAGACCTATTTTCCGCAAGCTTTTAGGTAAATATTCCAAACCGGAGTCTATATCAGTGACTCCGATGCTTAATATCTCTAATTTAGTTAAATTTTGAAGAGGTTTAAGAGAACCAATAAAACGATTATAGATGCCTTTTCTGAATTTGGCTTTATCATTATTATCTAAAAATAATTGTTGAAGATTAATAAATTTAGCGAATGTCTCTAAAGTTTGTTCGGGGAAGTTATTGCTGTGGATGCTGAGAGTGGTTAATTTTTCAGGATTGAGGCTGTCTAAAAAACCAGTATTATTAAGGTGATTATTAGACGCATTAAAATAATTAATTTCGGGGCAATTTTCAATTTTTATCTCGGTAAGTTGACAATTATTGGCATTAAAATAAGTTAATTTAGGCAAATTAGCAAGTTCGATGCTAGTAAAATTGTTATTACCACATTCAATCTTTTCTAAATTAGGAAGATCAGAGACAATTAGTTTACCCTCTAAATTTTCATTTTTAAGGTCTAGTACTTTAGAAGAGTAATTATTTTTTGAGTATTCGTGAATGTTTACCATGTTGTTTTTATTTGTTCTGCATAATCTGAGTAGTTAATTGCTCCTGATTTTCATTAACCTCTTTTTCTCTATTAATTTCTGATAATTTACCTTTCCATTTCTGCACTATTTTTTCTAATTCCCCCTTAGTTTGCTTTTTACTCAGCAACCGTTTGTCAAGCATAGCGTAGTCTTTAGTAATTGTTTTACTTTCATCAACAATTATTTCTTGTGCTAACTTGCTAATATGTGCTTCAGCCTCGGCGATTAAAACTGGCAAATCATCTTTACCTAATTCCAGTTCAGATTTCGATACATTCAACTTTTCTAACCTCGCGGAGGCTTTTTGAAAGTATTCTTTATCAAGTTCGGAACCAATAAAATTACGACCTAATTCTTTACAAGCTGCCGCAGTAGTTCCGGAGCCCATAAAAGGATCCAGGACCAAATCACCGGGATTGGTGTGTAAAGAGATAATATCCTTAATTACTTGAAGATTTTTTTGAGTAGGATGAATTCTTTCTTCGCCAAATACTACCCCGCCAACATATTCAGGAATTAGAGCGGGATTTTTCTTATTTTTTAAATTATTAATTAGTTGTTGTTCAAAATTGAAAGTTCATTTTTCCCCTTTAACTGCTCAAATGGCTAATTCATAATCAGTAGTATATTCTTCCGTAATGTTTTTTATTAAGGGGTTAGGTTTTACTCATCTGATTAGTTCTTTTACTATGAATTCATTTTCTTCTAATACTTGGCTGATGGCACTTAGGTTTTTTCAGTGATTAAAGATGATTACGCTGCCCCCTTTTTTGACTAAGGGGGCTGATTCTCTAATTCAAATTAATTGGTCAAAATTGTCGTTTCATTTGGCGGAGACTGAAGAGGCAAAATTTTGCTTATTGACTAAGTCAAGGCTGTAAGGGGGGTCGGTGATTAAGGCGTCTACTAAGATGTTGTTATTTTTCATTTGCTTGAATAGTTCTAAGCAGTTGAGGTTGTGGATTTTGTTTATAGATGATTGATTTTTATTTGCTTTGAGACTTTTCATATGATTTATTATTACTATTTTTGATAAGGTTTAAACTTGTATTAAGGGAAACTACTTCTCTAACTTTTTAATTAATATTTCCTTTGGGAGGAATTTCTATCTTATTTTGCAATTCCTGCCGTTGTTCAATAATCAAATTTTCTTTCTTTGTTCCTTTTATGCTTTCTAGTTTTTCTACTTCTGCTTTTCCTGAAAATCCTACTAAACCTTTTCGCTGATAAGCACCTTCTTGTCCCGATGCCAAGATGGCAAATGGGCTTTCGCTTTCCCACCTCTCTTTGTCAAGCACCAATAAAGAATCATCTTTTTTTATGCTGTTAAGAGTTTCATATGAACCTGTCAGTGACACCTTAATTCCTTCCACTCTAATTTCTTTTTTATAGAGACCGCCTTCGAGCAAAAATCCCTTGCCTCCTTCCATTCCAATAGGTTCCTGACTTTCAATTTCACTTACCTTGTACTTCGAACCCTTTATCTCAATACTATTTTCGTTAACCTTTACAAATTGGCACTGGTGAGGGTTTCCTGACTCTTTACACTTACATACAACAATTAAACCCCCTTGGGAAGTTGTCGAACCCTTTTTTTCATCTAATGTTGTTGGAACTAAACTATTTCCTGAGCCATGCCAACTAAAGATATCCCCATAGCCGCTTTCAAGGGCTTTTTTCATGACATGCAACAATCTCTCTTCTATTTCCTCTTTAAAATAACCAGGGAATTCTGTCCTTTGCTCTTCTGGATGCTTACAATTCACCTTTCTTTCCTCATTATTTTCTTTTTCTTTGCATTCCTTACATATATTTTGCTTGTAATCAACTTCTACACTTTCCCCGTAAGGTAATAATCCCAATGTCGAATATATGCCATCTATAGGATTGCCTCGTTCACGATTTTTTATCTCTTTGAGTACTTGACCAAGACTGAAGTTTATTTTATCTTCTGGTTCATATCCCTTTTTGTAATATACTCAGCCCAAAGGAGTAGCGATTTTTTTAGCAGCTTGTTCAGCTTCTTCAAAACTATTATACCTAGCATATTTAGTGTACACTGGTTGGTTAAGTACTCACGTTTGTGCTATAGCTCTACCATCAACTAGTTCATCATCAAACATATACACTATTTGTTTGCTTAATCAGCCTTCTTGGAAAATTCAAGTTCGAGTGAATCATTTTGACCCAACTATCATTGCTAGTGCATCCGGTAAAGGCGGTAGAGATTCACGATCTTTTTTTAGATTTCCGTCTATTGATGCCAAAGTTGCAAAACTGCTACTATAATAATTTCTCATTTTAGGAACCTCTTGTGATTTTTCCTTAGCATCATTTTGATTAACACACAACTGATCCATTCAGAGGTAATTAATGTCAAACTTTTTGCAAACTTCGATGGCTTTATTCAAGGCTCTATATCCAGAGGAATTTAATTCGTTTTTATATGCCAAGTTTTCTCATATTTTATCTATTTTTTCCTTATCTTTCTCTGATAAATTACCAGCACCTCAAACATAAGAAACAATTGCATATTTTTTTATGTCTGGATTTCCTTTAGTTTTTTCTATACTACCTTTTTGGATGTTATAAAGCCTAAGAGGGAGAGTTTCTGATTCTGGCTCTGATCAATTGCTATCTAAAGAAAATCCTTCTTTCTCATATGCCATCCTTTTATTTTTATAACTTATCCCTTCCGTTGTCTCCTCTAATTTTTCATTATGTAAACCTAAGCCTAATGGCATAGCCGGTGCTATATTCAAAGTTTTTCTTTGAACTTTCTCTTTAACCACTTCTATTTCTCTTCATACCTGATCAGGTTGAAAGTAAAATCTGTTTGTTTTCTTACTTTCAGGATTATCTAGAGAGCCTACTTGCTCAAGAAGTTTTTTCACTACAAAATCCCCAAATCCTTTAACTCTTTCATTTAACTCAATTTGTAATTTGTGTGATTCAATTTCTTTTTCTAGCATTTCCTTTTCTTCTTTTTTTTCCTCATTTTTTAAATTTTCTAATTGTTCCTCTAAGTTTTTTATCTTATTTTTTAACTCTTTGTTTTTCTTTTCACTCTTTTTTTTGTTTAACTCCTCAAACTTCCGGTTAAAATTAATAAATCCACTTCCCATTTCTTCTTTCACTTTTTTTATATAATTAGGTAATTCATTTTCCAGCGTCCAAGCATACATCATATAAAGTTCAGCACTTGACCGACCATAATGTTTAATGTTTTTGAAAAATTTTTCTCCTTGCTCTCCAAAAGAAATGCTTTCTTGATTAGAATGGCTTTCTTTTTCTATCTGTTCGACTAGTTTTCCGGATTTTTTTTCTTCCTTTGGGCTTTCTACTTCTTTTTCAAGAACTTCATCTTCAAACTGCTTAACAATAAACCCTCTACTAATGCTTAATTCTGCACTTTTTTCTTTAAGTTCTTCAATAACTCTTTCTAGTTCTTGCTTTCAAGCTTGCTTGACTTTTGGTTCAGATACCAAAACTCTGAAAAGAGTCCTAATATTATTGGAGGGAAGAGGAGTTCCAACGTCACCTAAAATGAATCTATCTCACCCAATAAGGAGTTGACTTAATACGCTTCGACCATTAGTAGTTAATCACAAAACATCACTTTTTTCTAATATTTTGTGGACAGAAGCAGTTATTTCTTTACCTCATTTAATAGACTTTTCTTTGTTCCTTAAAAAAAACCAAACAATACTGGCACTTTGATCTTCCCAGGCACTCACTAACTCCTCATTAAAAGCTCATTTATGATCTAACTTACTTTCCAATAAAGTTTCTAGTATTATCTTACTAGCATCCTCACTAAGTTCTTTCTCGTTTTCATACTTGGTTTTCAACTTGAAAAATTTACTTGTCGAGTTATTACTTTCTCCTTTTATTCCATGAATAATTTTTCTTTCACTAGAATTTTTTTGAAGTTCGAGTCAATTTTCCTTGTTAACAATATTTAGTTCTTGGTCTTTTTGTGATAAAAACTCATTTACAATATTTTCCTCAACCGAACATTTTTTCTCTTTGTATTCTTTTTTTTCTTCTAATAATTCTCTTTTTTCCCTTTCTATTTTCTCCAGAAATTTATCTGCCTCTGTTTTATCAATAATCAAGTTGGCATCATCTTTATACTCGATAAATAATTTTTCCTCTGTAGTTAGACCAATGCTTTTAATTTTGGCTTCTTCTTTTTCAGACTTGCTGGCTTTAATTTCAATGTAAGTTTTTTCGCCATGAAGCGGACTTAATAGATGGGATAAATAAAGATAAGCTTCTGGTTTAGTTTGAATTTCATTCATTCTATATCTCAACTCTACATTTTTTTGCCCACTTTCTTTATATCAACCTTTTTTTCCTGATCACTCTTCTAACTTTAATTGCCTTTTTAAAAATTCTTTTGTATCTTCTTTTTTGATTTCTTTCAGGAAGTTAAAAAACCTTTTAGTTTCACTAAAACTAATTTCTTTTCTAAGATCAGACACAAACTCAGCAGCATTTTTTGTTAATCGTGTAGTTTCTTCTGTAATTTCTTCCGCTATTTTTTTTGCATCTACAATTGCTGTACCTACTTTTTCCTTTATTTCCTCAAATTTTTCCTTTGCATCTACAATTGCTGTATCTGCTATTTCCTTTGCTTTTTCCTCTGCTGTTTTAGCAAGATTTTTTCAATCAGATGGGTTAAATAAGCCCGTATTTTTCTTTTCTTCTGTTTCCAAAGTCTGTTTTTGTTCTTTCGGCTCCTTAAGTTTATTAGGAGTAAGTTTTTTTTCGTTTTTTAAAGAGTAAACAGAATAATAATCATACACTCCAGCATCTATTCATGCTTCAAACTCCTCTTTATTGGAACAAACCTTTGTTCAGTATTTTAGATCTTCTATTTTTATTTTCCTATTATCAAATTTTTCGCTAGTCAATAAATCTAATTGTAGTTTAATTTCTTTTACCTTGCTTTCTGGTCTTTGTTCAGTAAAATAGGAAATTTTTTCTTTTTTTCCATTGTCTATGCCGATAAGACTAGCGGGTAAATGTTCTGCTCCGCTGTTTAGGTCAGTATTGTCTATATGAAGTACTTTTAACTTAGTTAAGTTTTTCAGAGGTTTGAGCGAACCGGAAAAACGATTATAAATCCCCTGGTTTATTTTTTCTTTGTTATCATTTCCTAATTTTAATTCTTCCAATTTAGTAAAATTTTTGAAAGAAGATAAGTTACTTTCTGAAAAGTTATTCGAATTTAAATTATTAGAAGAACAATCTAATTTTCTTAGCTTTGGGCAATCATTTAAATATAGATTAGTAAGTTCATTTTCGGAACAATTTAACTCCTCCAAATTATTAAACCCTTTCAATCTTATTGCTCCTTTTAGTTCTTGGTTACTAATATCCAACTTAACAATTTTATTTCTTTCTTTGCCTTTATTATCTTTATCAATTTCTCCTAAACATTTACTTTCTTTAGGGTATTCCTTATCTAACCATTTCTGAGCATCACTATCATGAAACTCTTTTCAATCTTTTAGTTTGTCCGCAAAATTTTTACCTTCAAAAGGATTTAATTCTTCGTGGATATCACTAACTTTGGCTTTGGTCTTACCAGTAGAAGAACAGTCAAATTTATCAATGCTTTTTGGTAAATACTCTCAACCACTATCTATATCAGTATTACTAATGTCTAATTCTGCCAATTTATTCAAGTCCTTTAAAGGCTCCAAAGAACCAATAAAACGATTATAAATGCTGGGTTCAATTTTTTTTTGATCATGATTACCAACTCGCAATTTTTCTAAATTAGTAAACTTACTGAAAGTTGATAAATCTTGTTGAAAGAAATTATTATCCGACAAATAGCATTCTCTTAGTTTTTCGGAATTTTCTAAAGAGGCAATGCCTTCTAAATTAGAAAGTAAATTACAACTGACATCCAAGTATCAAAGAAATTTTAAACCGGTTAGTTTTAAACTAGTGAGTCTGTTATTACGGCAATTCAACCATTCTAGATTAATAAAATCGGTTAAGTCTAACTCTTCTTCTAACTCCTTGTTGCTAATGTCTAGCCTTGTAACATCACTCCTTGTTTCTTTAGGATAATTTTTGTCTAGTCATTTTTGGCTGCTGAAAGATTTTCGTTGCTTGCCAAGTTCATCTTTTAATTCATTATTATTTTGCTCCAAGTATTGTTCGGGAACTTTTCCTTTTTCTTTTAGGTATTGAGCAAACTCAATATCTTTAACTTCTAAGCCAATATTTATTCATTTCTTACTTTCTTCATAATCAAATCCTTTTTCTTTTCATAATTCTTGTAACTCTTGCAATATTATCACTTCTACATCTGAATCAATCTTGTCATTTTTTCATTCTTCTAATTCAAAAATTTCATCGGGTTGATATCGGATAGTATGATTATTATAATCACCAATTATTGATTGTAAAAAACGAAGAACACCTTCGCTTTGGAAATAATCACCCTTAGTTATTTTTTGGCTATCCTGAAGTTTGCCTATTATAGTGTCTCAATTACTTTCAATCTTATCATTTTCATTAATGTCTTTTATTTTTAAGTTTCCTCTATCTGTTGATAGTATTTCCTCAGTATTCGTGTATTCTTTAAATTTTTCTAATATCTCTTTGCTTACGAACTTTCAACTGCTGCAATCTATTAATTTATTGTTATCTAAAATTTGATCACCAAAACTTTTATCTATTTTTAAAAGGTTTCTATTAACGAAACTTGCTATGTTACCTATGTCTCCTTTAACAAGTCAGCCTGGGTAGGTGTGTTTAATTTTTTTCCAATTTTCTGGCAGTACATTTTGTAATGACTTATTAGTAACTTTTAGTTCAGAGTTTAGTTTTACTTCGGTATCTCAAGAGATTTCGTTATTTTTAGCTTTTTGGATTAATTCTGTTAACTTTACCATATTATTATTGAACTTGCTGATATTTTATGCTTATAATCACTGCCAAGGAACTCACCAATTTATAATAAATTAAGCAATGATTGTTTTTCGTAATTATACTAATTTGCTATCTCGCTATTTTCTGACCATAGGCAATTATTTTTCTGTTCTTTATATAGAGATTTATTTCCTTATTAGGAACTTTTGCTCTATACTTAAGTTTTATATGTTTTGTTAACTGCATTAAGTTTTTAAATATACCCTTGTTTAGGACGTAAATACTTCAGAGACTTCAATCAGTATGAGTTATAACTATCCAAATATTTCTTCGGTACAAAAATCACAAACCCTTGTTCAGTTTTAGAATTGGTTCAGGCGGCTGCCTCCCAAATAGTGCATTGGATATAAATTCCTTCATCAGTTTTTTGGAGGAGAGAGACCTGACAAATCCCCGTAGTCACCTCCCTCTGCTCTATACTCACCTGCCCCAACCTTTGAGCATTCACAAACAACCTAGTCCCTTGATGCCTACTCAAAGCAATGAAATGCATCAAGAATCTTTGCCTTTCCCTAACATCCTGCACAATATTCCCTTTAAACAACAAATTTATCTCATCCAAGAAAATAGTCTCCGTAACTCCTAATCTCTGACTAGGAGCAAAAGAAAAATCTAACTGTCCCTTCTCAGCCCACGGCAACTGACACGGAAAAGTAGCATACTTATTTTCCCCAGGCAATTCATTAGCCAACATAGCCAATATGGCAGTCTTACCACTTCCTATAGGTCCAAAAAATACTAAACCATTACTTTTTTTACAGAATTCTAAAAACTCCGGAGTATTATCAATAATTAACTGTCCCTTATTCTTAAAAAGAACTAATAATAATCCCCCCACTAACACCCCTAAACTAGCCCAAATACAAACTCCCAACAAGAATTTAAATTTATCCAATAAATTAGATAAAAAACTCCCCTCACTAGGCCTATAAAAAATAAAGAATAAAAAAATTGGAACTATTAACAAAAATTTATAAGTCCTAAAAAATTCCCATCAGTTGATTTTTCTCAACCTTTTTAGTTTTTTCTCCGGTTTATTTTTTTCCATATACTTGGTAAAATTTCTCTAAATGTCGCAAAAATTATTTTAATAATACTTGGTCTACAACAATAGAATAATCATGCATGATTATTTATTTCATTTCATGAAGAAATTATTAATCGTAAATTATTATTTTCTCATCGTATATTCTTTAACCAACTTTTCTAATAATTGCTGCACTGCAACTCCCTCCTTTTTAGCCAACCCCTGCAATAACATTCAACTCTCAGCAGTAAATCCACTTCTACGACAATACCGCAAACTAAGCACCACATGCAAAGCCTTTTCTAACCTCATTAATTCCTCCGAATTTAAAACACCAATCTTTTCTCCCAACCTACTCTTATCAATAGTTAAAATTTGGTCAGTTAGGATTTTACTTTTCTTTTTTAAAGATATTTCCGGTTCAAAATAATAAATCTTATCTAATTGCGAACTAATTAAAGCCACAATTACTTCTTCGCTATATTTATTTTGCTTATCGTTAGAAATTACTACTACCGGTCGGTCTTTTTGTGCGGTTTTTTTTCGGATCCCAATTTTATCTTTCCTGTTTTTTTCCTCTTCATCAGTAAAGTCGGCTCAGTAGATTTCACCCCTTAAGGGGTACGAAGACTTAAAACCAGTTTTTTGTCTTTTTGAAGTCTCGCAGTAAACTGTTCGCCTTTCACCTCTTCTAATTATTTTTTGACTCATCTATAATCTTCTTTGTAAATCTCTTAAGGCCGCCTTTTGGGCTGGTTTAGTTAATTTTTTTCTTTCTTGGTCTTGGCTGATTTGTTTGTAAGCTTTTTCTAGTTCTTGGTCTTCGTGGGTGAATTCAGTTTCATTTTCAGCAATTTCTTGATAAGTTTCATATTTAATCTTTTCTTTTTGCAAATATTTTTGTAGAGTTTGCAGGTTGGCTAGTTTAAAAACATGGGGGGCAATTTTTTCTCCTTGTCCTTTTTTTAGCAAAGAGCGTAAAGTTGCATAGTTTTTGGGTTCCATGGTGGATTTTATGTAGATTAGTTTCATATAATATTTTAGTATATAGGGGGTGTGTATTGTTTTTTCTTCCTCTTAGGCTTTTTGACTTTTTTCACTAATTCTTCTTCCGGTTCTTGATTTTCT